GTGAGCCTAAGTAAATGCTTGAATTGGGATTGTTGTTTTCTAACTAGCATCAGAAAATAAAGCTCGCATCATGTCAAACTCATTGTAATGACTAGGATTCTTCATGTTCGTGTAAAAGATGCACAGTTTGACCAGGACCATGAGGTAATGTACAGTAAATAGAGGATGATGTTAGAGAAGAGATCTTGCTGACAGGAATAATGTGATTCAGCCTCTAATGACTCAGGGTTTTAAGAAGTGTTTTGGAGTAGACTTCAATTTACAATTCTCCTTTGAATTGCACTTGCTTATCATTAAACCCTCCCAGCTGAAAGCCTCTCTCTTGCGCCTCAGAAAAGGATAGCGTCTTGCCAGGAAGAAATGTGGATAATGTTTTGCTCAGAGTGATAAATATTCACACACATATAATAAAGCCCCAAATGCCAGAGACGGCCTCTCTTTTGTAATGCCTCAAGCAACCCTAGGCCACCCAAGGTGATGGCCAGCCCCTCCTCCTACAGTCCGGCCAGGGACTATACCCCTCACATCCCTGGGACCAGGGTCCCTCTGGCTTTCTTTTAACATTTGTAAACTTTGCTCATTTTCAAAAACAGCCCCTGGTTTCAGTGTGCCCCCATTTTTTCCTGCCCAAATCTGAGGATTACTCCATCTTGAGCCTCTCGTCTAGAAACAGGGAAGGCTGATGGCTACTAGGGAGGCTAACAGGGCTTCCCTGCTTTTGTCTTCTGTTCTCCGAGTCTCAGCACTTGTATTCCCAGTGCAGCCCTGGGTCCCCTCTGGCCTCTCAGGCCTGTCTTTCACACCGGTGTCATGCACACCTGAGAGGTGAAATAGGAACTCCTAGTGATTTCACTTGGTATTTTCGGTGTCCATCATTTTCAGTGTCCGGTATTTTCAAAAGTCTGTCATTGCATAGAGAAAGAAAGCAAGGGAGCCAAGATCTCCCTAAAGGCTGAGCAGCAACAGGAAAGAGCAGGCTGAAATGGAACATTTCTGTTTTGCAGAGAAATTCTGGTATTTCAAAATTCTTTGTCCATCACTGGGAAAAAAGCTACACATACTGAACTCCCCTGCAGAAAATGTATTTATTTCCACCCCCTACAAATAATTGAGAAAAACTAAAGTATATGTTTCCTAACTAGCTAACTAAATATTTCTGAACAATTGTTTTCCTTGCTTCTTACTGAGCTGCTCCTAGAAGACCAGCAGCCTTTCAAGTTTAAGCTGAGCCTTTTCATTCTTCTAGATGTTAGCTAAATGTCACCAAGCTTCTGGAAACTGGAGAATTGAGATATTGAAAAACTTCTGCTACAGCCTGGGTTTCTGGGCTCCCAAACATGCTGCAGGAACCTTAAAACTTTGTGGGCTGCTAAGTCTGTGGTAATCCATACAGAGGGACCGCTACAGAAATCTCAACCCTAGAAATCTGGGTTCCTGTAGGCAGGAAGCAAAACAGTTTCCAGTGGCCTCCTTTTTTTAGCAGAGGTTCATCTAAAGTCATATATTTCTGCAAAACATTCTGCTATTGACAATTTGACACGCTTAATGGAACAGGAAACCAAACCCAATTTTGTTTGGAAATTCCCAGACATCTTTATACCTTGCCTGGCTCAGGGTGGAAAACAACTACCAATGCCTGCAAAATCAGAGACCGATTTTTGGAATCTTGCTCATGATAATAATGCCTCGGTTTCCCTATCTGTAAATTGTGAATAAATCTTCTTAGATCAACATTGTTCCTCTCAATCTCATTAATATCTGAGGACTGTTTGAGAGTCACTAGCTGTGCAAAGAATTTCTCTTCTCATGCCTGCAATGGGCGATGCATTGTTTGTGATGCTCTGTGAATCTCCAAACCTCACTTGCCTGACTTAAGACTGTAGTTGGGCTGCTTTGATGTCTTAGGGAGGGAGCCTAAACTCCCCAAAGTAGAAAATCAAGTTGAAACTTATTTCTTTCATGTGGTGTCTTATGGATAGGTACTGTGGGTGTTACATTTAAGTATGGAGGGTTGTACTTTTGGAAAATACCTTTAACACAGTCTGTGTGGGAGAGAATGATTTCCCTGCAATCTTTGATTCTCTTCTTTTTCTCAACCAATTATGTTCTTCTAAGAAGGGACTGTGTCAATGGGCATTTGTGAAGTTGGGAAAGTTAATGATGTTCTGTGCTCAAGAGGGATGTGATTCCTTCTCTTCTGTCCTTAAGGGTTAAGTGGTTACTCAGATAACCCAGATTCTGCATGAAAAGACCTCAATTACAATCAATTTTCCCTCCGTCAAGAAGTAAAATTTGCTAATCTGTCAACTGTGTTGATTCAGAGATCATATATGATTTGCTGCTAAACAGTGTGAAGACTAAGAAGGGTGAAAAGCAGCACTCCTGTAATACTTCTAGATACCAAATTCTCCGCAAATTCTCCAATGTGCTAATTTCTTTAAATGTGATAGGAACAAGCTCTTCCTCTCTGCCTGTCTGTATCTTCAGGTTGTAAAGGCAAGAGAAGGATTGCACCTTTTTCTTTTCTGCAAACTCAGCTCCCTCTCAGTCCCTTCTGATGGAGGTCTTTGGGCAATGCGATATATAAATATTTATTGCTCTGCCATAGAAAAGAGTTTATTTCTCTTCCCAGGGGCATTGGCCCCATGAAACATTATGAGTTCTGAATATTTTATTGCATGGTAACTCCACTAGCAGTTCCACTTCTCTTCATTATACAGCAGCTGAACATTACATTCCTCCTCAGGGATGCTGAAGTTTTCTCATGCTTTCCTAGGGCATGTTTTTCTGGAGTCACACGAACTTTTTTTTACTAACTAGAGGATGTAAACATCAAAGTGTCAACAGACTAAATGCCAAGTGACCAATGTGAGCAAACCGTCTTAAAAATCTGTTGTAATGAAGTTTGTAGTTACGTAGAGCTCTGTTTCACTGTACACTCAACCAAGTCAAACAGACTTACAACAGAGAGACTTTTGCTTCAGAAACCAAAAGCTGCTTTCTCACTAATGAAGAACTTTCATATAGCTGTTGGAGCCTTTGAGACTACTGAATGGCTCCAATTTCTTCTGGGTAGGAGGCAGTGGTGCTACACTCACCTTTGCAAGCTTGAGACAGTTTTACTGCAAGGAGGGCAATGAATGCTGTAGTCCTTGCTGCAGACTTGCTCAGATTCTATGGCTTTAAATAAACTCGATGGTCCGCTGTTTTCTGGCATGCCTCATAAATCTGCCTATATAAGTCTCAGTACATTCTGCCATCTATTACTCATGTCCATATTAGAGATAAAGTAATTCTCTTTGAACTTCCACTGCTGCCAAAAAGCAGAACATCATAATGCAGAACAAATACTTCTTCATGTTATATCCCCTTTATTTTTGTGTTTGACCCTTACATTATGTGGTGGGAAAAAGTTTGCAACTTCTTCTCTTGTTTTTGGAATGGCTTCCGCAAACTTTTTGAGCCCAGGTGGAAAGGGAAGAAACTGACTTTGCAATGCTTCCTGAAGTGACTAATATCTTTAGAATAATGTTTTGGAACAATTCTCGCTCTTTTGTTATAAACCCTGGAGCAAACATGTGGCTGATTAAAATCAATTAGCTGCATTTGTGGGTGAATTAAAAAAATTTGGTTGCTTACGCAAGCTTTAAATGAGGCTTTGCATCTTTCACACAAAACCTGCACTTCTCTGGAGGCTTTGAAATAACCTTCCCATGAAAGTTCTTGTCTGGAAAGTTTCTTGCATAACTTCAGATTTCCTTTATTCCTCGCAGTTTGAGGACACCTCTCCTTTTCTCCAAGTCCAGTAGCCTCCAGAGGATGCGGATGGACATAAGAAGAGCAGGAAGGGCTGTTCAGGTACGAAAATTTAATCTATTCACTGTTGGGATCCATTTTAGAGGACTAGGCAAAGCTTCAGACATTTCCCTTGCTTGGGCCAGTGTACTTTCTCTAATTAGAGAGGTAGGTTAAGTTATCTTCTCATTGCAGCAATTAACACTTGCAGTGACTGCCAGACAATTTTGTAATGATTCAGGAAGAGCATCCAACTTCAGAGAAAGCTGTAGTGTTCCAGTACTTCTTTGTCAGAGATGAAAGTTCACATTTCAGCTAGGAACAAGCTGCTCCAGAATGCCATTAGACCATCCTTGCACATAGTGCATAGTGTGCTGTATATTAATGTTCTTGCTATAAATAAAACATTAAGTTTATCCCATACATCTGATTTTCACATCTAAGTATACCCTATACAGCTTGGATTACAGTTGGGCATGTAGACAAAAAGCGTCATAGCGAAGGCAGACAAGAGACTACTCCACTTAATTCTGTGTAAATGAATCTTTCCTGTAGCAGTTTGCTGCAGTGAAATTCACCCATTTGGCTGCCCTAGAAACACTGAGACTGCATGTAGCGATGCTAGTGAATAGTTTCAGGCACTTATTTACAGAACATAACTGAAAATAAAAATAAAAATGCCTGTACCATTGTCGTTTTTGTTGTATTTGAATGCTGGACAGCTTCCTGTCTCCTGTAGTCTCAGGAGTGACTCTTAGTGTCAAGTAATAGAAGCAGAGGTGCATTGCTTCAACACCCTGGCATGCATGTGGTTAATAATGCACTTGGTGTTCCATGTTACTCTTCCTTTCAAGAGATTTGAAGGGGAATCATTTCAGATACAGGTAACAGTTGTCCTGCTTCTCCATGGATTACCTTTTTTAGTTTTTACCTTTACTCACTGTGTGTCAGAGCATACTTCACCTCAAGTGCTTCACCTTTTAGAAGAGGTATGAACCATAATTAGGTGTATGTGGCAGTAGCCTGCTGTTAAGCTATGTTTACGCATTAAACTTTCAAAAATGCAAATATATAGCATGATTTTTATACCAGGACAATAGGCTGCCTCACTTTTTATTTTCATTTGTTTCAGTGCTACTGGGAATCAGCCTGAACTAAATAAAGTTAAACAAATTTTAAACTTAAATAACTGTTTATGTACGTACTTGTATTGGTTTATCTGGATTCTTTAAAAGTCTTACAACTCTCCATCATGGTCAAGGCTTCCGTTAATCCTGTACAATCCCACTGAACTCTGTAGACATAAATGAGAGCAGAATGTGGCCTATGACATTGTATTGGCAAAAACATCTATTTGAGAATAGGATTGTTTCAAATAAATTCTACTGAAACTGAAACAAGTCATCTTTTAGTAGACACTGTTCTGGAAAACATTAGCCCCCAAAGTGACGAGTAAGTAAAGACAGGATTGTAATGGAATCATAACCAATGCTGCTGCGACTTGCCAAATATATAGCATTTAATAATACGAAGTGACAGCAATCTTGAAATTCTAATGCTTTAAAGCTATCCACATTCAGAAACAGGTTGAAAAATAACAGAGCAAATTGATAGGATTCATGTAAAAATTCTACTGGTCTGTCTGGAAAGAGTATCCTGTTAAATGAAATATCATTAAAAGCCTCCAGCTAAGAAGAAGCCGAGTGATACCCAGTGTCGAACCACCTTTTAAAAATAAATCCTCTACTCAGAATGGAAGTCAATGAACGTTGTTAATTCATGACTGTTGCACTGCATATTCCTAAATAGCTAGATTGTGTCCCTAATGCAAACAGTGGAGGGCATACAGAAGAGCTGCAGTAGTCAAGTCAGACAAACAAAATATGGATTAAAGTTTTAGCAAGTGGGCTAGAAAGAGCATAGGTCTCAGCCCAGCTAGATTCCAAAGACAGTAGTAAGACACTTTAATTACATGATTGATGTAGGCTTCAAAAGAAAGCACCGAATCCACAATGACCCCAAGGTCACAAGCATTATCTGAAGGATAAAAGAACTACCACAAATGGAAACTACCACAGATGACACCTGAGACCTCTGCGCCAGTGAACTAATCAATAGCAACTCAGTTTTGTCTGTGTTAAGTTTAACAAAATTTGAAGTTACCCGTGATTAAATATCACAGAGACAATTACACAAAACATCAAACTTCTTTGTAGGCTCTGCAGGGACTGAGAGGATATCCAAATATCGTCTGCATACAAATGACACAGCAAACAGGGTGGCTGAATAATGTTAACTAAGGGAAGTGTATAAATAGAAATCAAAATTGAAACCATAAGAGGATCACAGCCTTCCTGAAGAATGAATTCCTTCCAGCAGAAGTGAATTTTGTCAATACATATAAAACAGCGAAGACAAACTAGTCCAAGCTCCCAAATGGAATTAAAGAAAGGCCTGATAAATAGTCACTGGAAAGTCAACATCTAGTAAAATATATGAGCTGTTAAGTAATTTGAATATTTTATTCACCTTCATTAATACTTCTGGAAGCAGGAAGTCCCAGTGAAGTCAGCGGCTGTATTTCAGTTAAAATGAATAGCTTAAGCTATGTAGACGTATTAGTGATGTGCTCAGCCTTTCTCCGTAGATATCAGTAGTATTGTTGAATTGCAATAATGCACTAATACGAGAAGACAATTGCCGATCAATGATATTGTCTCTTGAAAGGCAGTGCTGCAACGACTTCCAACATCTCATCTACCTTTGGAATTGGAAAAAGGCCAGGCACAGACAGAAGTGGAGTTAAGTCATTGTTAAAGAAGTGAGAGTAACTTTGTGCGTACATTTAAGCCAGATGGAAGCTCAACTTGACAGGAAAAACATCAGGACAGGAGTAAGAAGCACAAGCAAAGGTTCACGAGTGGGAGAATTTCCAGACAAACCGTGGCAATGGCCAAAAAATTCTAGGCCATTTCCAAAAATTAATGTGGGAATTAATAATGATTTATGACTGTAAAACTGACATTAATTAAAGCAAGTTTAGCAGTATTCTTATGATTTAGATTTGATGCTATTACAGCTAGCTGGAAAGAGCATACAAATTACCCAGAAAAGGACTTTCAGCTCACCTACGAGGTTTTTTTTTCCTATCATGTTTGCATTTCTTGACCATGTTAGTGCAGGATCTGAGCCAAAAGCAATCACAATGGAATATGGATAGAGGATAAAAACTTACTAAATCCTTGCAAGGAAGGACAGTAGCAGAGTTCAACAGAAGGCAATGTCAGAGACTACAGCTTAAAATGCTCTCTGAAGTAAAAAAATTCAGAATATCAGCTACCTAAATACAAACCTGCGTATAAAGGTTTGCTGGGTTTTTTATGTGTGGGCTTTTTTTTTGAGATCTAACCGATCGCAAATACCAAATACAGAGAAAACAAATGCAAAGACAGTTGTTCCCGAAATCAATTCTTGGTTTCTAATAAATCGGGACAGGGAGGAGGGATCAGCCATGGACCATATGTTTCCTCTGCCACCTTGATTTAGTGGCAAAAATTGACCTTTGCTCTTCAGTTCAAAAGTCCAGGCCTTCTGTGAGCTTACATAATTAGATGTCAGCTGTATGGCAATAACGTAATGAAACTCAGGTGTGGATTTAGCAGGACAGCCGAGGGGGATGTGACCTCCTTCTCTCCCCCAGTTCCCCCCTCTCCCCTGCTCCACTTTATGCATGCTGCCTGCCGGTGCTCTGAGGCCCATCCCCATGCTCGCACCAGGAACGGGGGCGCCTGCTACCGGGTCCGTACGGTCCTGCGATGAGTCCTGCAAGGAGGCCGGAGTGGCCCAGACTCTGCGGGAGAAGCCGTGATGCAGGGCTTAGCTCTCCTGTTTAGATCAGGTGTGGCCTGACCTTGAAACAGTGCTGTCGGCTCCTAGTGCCTACGGGATTCAGGACTGAGATTAGGTGCAGGAATGGGCTCAGAGAGCCTGGGGGGACTCAGAAATACTTCCCAGCTCCAGGCATGCATTGCAGCCGTGTTCCAAGTATTGAGGGGAAACGTTAAGTGTTTGTTTCCCATCTCTGCCCCCATGGCCTGATGCCCGTAGAAAGGAAACTCCAGAAGGTGCACAGGCTACAAGGGGGCTTAGCTTGCACAGGTCAGGTCCCAGATCTGGACAATCAGTGCTTGTGGAAATTCAGTCACGGTGGGCTAAAACTTCAGTGTGTGATCCCACTTGAGTAACATAAAAACCAAGATAAAGAATGAGTAACTCGACCAAAAATTATCTATGTTTTGCATGTAAAATGGAATGGTTTGGACATTAAAGACTGAGAGAAACCCACTCTACGTCGTCCTAGTTAGAAACTCCTGCACAGAAGAGAGAGAAGATCCTAGTTCTACTACCTGCTTGCAAAGGAATCTAAACCTGCATCACCGCTAGACTGGGGAACAGCCTAACTGCATGTGCACATCGTTAGAAAGATATCCTTATTATAACTATTGTAACTAGTTACAAGGATCACCACTGCTTCCTCTATTATTTTATAGAATTCTCCCTTTGTTTTCAGTTTTGTTGTTGGGGGGTTTTTTGTTGTGTTTTTTTTGTTTGGTCAGTTGTTTTTTTTTGTAACAACATCAGAAATGCAATTATAATATTTTCATTTGAGTTTTTAAAAAAGGTATAATTTGACTGGAAATGAATTATTTTAGATCTACAAAAAACTTAAGAGGAAAATGACCATGAAGCAAATAAAACCTGTCAACAACCCAGACAGCTCTGAGCACAAGCAACAAAAAAGAAATTCACCTGTCCATCTCTTGGCAGGAATTTTCTTAACTCCTTTGATTTTCTTAACTCTTGAGAAAAATGAGTCCCTTCTTTAAGTCCCCTGCTGGCTATGTGACATACAAAAATAGCTCTTAACTCTTTCCCGAAAGCTTTGTCAGGTCACTAACTCTTTTATAACATCTCAGGCTTTCTACAAGGCATAACATGTAAAGCAGAGGTTAGTATTTCACATTGACTCCTTACCACCAGTATTACAAGGACAAAATCCATCATGGCCCTAGAATGTCCTTCTCTCTAGTCCTACTTGGTATTGCCCTGCTTAATGGATAAATATTGTTTAGATCAGAAATAAGACATACAAACACTGGTATTCATCCAACACTTCTAAACTTTTGCACACCACTTTCACATCTCTAATTTTGGAACTTCCAGACATTTAGGCTTCAGGAAGTTGAGAATTAAGCTGCTCTGTTTTGTAAATCTGGGAGAAATAATCTCTGCTTGTTTTCAGCAATACTAATATACTTATATCCCTATTAATAGTCTACATGTGCATCTTTGATCCTATGGTCAGGATTGGTGAGTTGATTACTCTTCAGTGGGAGCAGTTGATTGGGAGCAGTTCTTATTTCTCTTTTTTCTAGGTTTTCATATTTATGGGAATAAATCCACATAAGAGATTCCTTAAAAAAATGTATTGCTTGGGCAGAAGTCGTACAGGTGACCTCTGCCGGGTCTAGCTGCAGTGGTCTGAGACATAGCAGCCCAGCTGTACCCCCAGCCTGCAGACGACTTATCACTTATAGCAAAGGATGCAAAAGCAAATATTTGCAAGTTCTCCACTGGCAGCAGCTCACAGTCCAACATACAGGAGGCAAGCGGCGTTGAGCATTGACAGCTCAATGACAGCTACGGTTCCCCTAAGCCATAAATGCGGTTTTAAGTTTTCTACTACCATATCAAAAATACCATAAAAGAAAGGACTTATCTAGTACAAACTCATCCTGGCAGGACGGGTGTGCTGAAAAGACACTGGCATGCTACTTTTCTCTATCGGCATGGCCACAACAAGGTCACAATCTTTTTCACCCCTCCATCCTCATCCATTTTTCACCCAAAGTTCTTGCCTACCCTTCAATGCAGGCTCTGGAGCCCTGTAGCATCTCCTTCTTTTTGGGCACTGACATCAGACCTTGGCCATTATATCTACATGCAGCAATTACAGCAGATGCCATTGCAGTCTAGCCAGAACCAAGCTCCAGGCCAAAAGCGGCTCTATTGGACACATATACACATCAGCTCTGCTGGGAAAAGCTTAACATTTCCCCTCCTTGCCTTGGAGAAGTTCCTGCAGAACATACCTGTGTGTACTGCAACTATTTTGTTGGTCCGTGCTTCCCATTTTCTGCCTCTTGCCTCCTGCCTTCTTTACGCAGTCCACGGTGAACAGAAAGCTGATGCCAAGCCTCAGTGCAGCCGCATCATTTGCCCAGTCCTGCCAGGCATGGATACACGCTGTTGCTGCTATTTCTGTTGCTCAAGGGAGAGGCAAAAATAGCACATGGTACTTGTAATGCCAAGATTCCGGGGCATTTTGGCCTGCCAGTGGCGTGGTACTTTTTATGAAGCTATTTCCTGGGTCACCAGTTGACCTTGGAAATGGAGAGCTGGCCCTGTCTGAGTGAAGTGCCCCAAAATATTCCTGCTGTGCGGTAGGGCTGGTGTCCCGGTATGCACAGGGCAGAGAAGCAGGGAGCCGTCCGGGATACCAGTGACACGTGCTGGCAGGAAATCACCACTGCATGCTTTTGCTGATTTGGCTGTGCCTCGTGCTGGTTTCTAAACTGGCTTAAATCTGCCTTGCCTGGTGATCCAGCAGGTTAAGGCTCTGACACCCGTTATCGTGGAGCCATGGCTGTTAAGGGCTGCTGCAAGAGCTTCCAGGGGTTTCTCCTCCCAGCAGAACTGACACCCTGACTTTTAGAAGCTTTCAGTAATTTTTTCCCAAGTGTAATACGTGTAGTGGGCTGCTGTTCTTTCTTTAAGTAACACCGGTATCTTTCACAGGACTATTACAGAGAAACTGGTATCCTCCCTAGTAGTTAGGTTAGTTAATACTCTCCGTGATAAAGGAGTCTTGTGATTTTTCCATTACGAACCTTTCACAGCTTCACTATTTGCTGTAAGGCTTTGATATACTGCAAAAGAAACACCCTCAAGCTTCAGAATTGTCTTTTTTCTCTAAAACTCTCCTTCGCTACAGCTGAGCAAAAACTGTTAAAGAAGTTCTTTTCTTGCACATGTACATCACATATACAAATTATAATTAATTTTAACCTTACCTTAAAATATTCCTAAGAAATAACACATCCAAATTATATAATTTCACTATAATTAAAATTGAAGCTGCAAAGTAAAGTACTCAAAAGTTGGAAAACGACACAATCAAGGTTGGCTGTGCAATCATAGTTTGCGTCGCTAGTGCATATGCATTCTGGTACTATTTGAAAAAGCTGTTTGAAATTGTTGATCTTTCTTCTGACAGCAGGATCCCCTGCACTGGGTAGCTTACAGATCAAAACAGAATTTGCTTGGGAAATAGCGATTCTATCACCTCGCAATCTTCAAGTCTGGTTCTGTAGGATTGGAGGGGACGGGACATTAAGAGAAGTAGGCTTTGAATTTTTGTTTGCTTGTTTTATATGTAATATTAATTACTCTACTGGGGGATAGAATAACATTGCTTTGAAACATGTCAGTGCTATGGACCAACAGGTTCCAATCTCAGCCATACTGACTTGTCTGCCCACAGACTGTAAGCTCTGTCTTGACAGCTGCACACCCGTCCTTTAGGCAAAGTTTTAAACCAAAAAAAAAACCCCAAATTCTAACCCCTGAGCCCTGTTTTCCACTGATCTTAGAAACCACATAACATTTCATTAGAAATTTTCCTGTGATCATTGGCCAAAGCATATCATCTTTATTCAATATTTTTCTACCACTGACTACATGTATTGGTTATTTTCATTTAAAAGATTTGTATGCACCTACCATCATGGTATTTGGATGCATGACAGTACTATTCTCAGCTAGAAAAGAACCCAAATAGGACCAAAGGGAATATGATGGAGCAGCCAAGACAAATTTCTATGTTTTAATTTTGTTACGTTTGTAGATTTTTTGTTAGGGTGATGGTCTTTTAAGCCAGGTTTGCTGGCAAAACACACGATAGCCATATGAATTGTAAAGCCTCGCAAAAGTGCTTCCAAATTAAAGAGTTTAAAATCAACAGAAAATAAATGTAGGTCACATTCAGATCCTGAAACCAGCTGCAGTCACAGAAACAAACCTGGGCATACTTTAAAACATGTCTTTCATTTCTCATTAAACATTAAGGACTATGATTGCTTATTAGAAAATAATGGTGTACTGAATGCATTCCGAATGGCTTGGATGCTTTACACCCACCAAGCCAACGTGAGAAACAAATGCAGGCCTTGTCATGTTTTTAGAATACAAAAAAGGGGTACCTCTGTGTTGACAGTTTCAGGCATATGAAAATTACCCCACAAATGACAGCTTTTCAAAAAAACATAATAACAATAAGGAATGTCTGCAGCAGCTAACCTGGGACCTCACAGCAACATGTGCGTGTTTCTCAATGTGAAACGTTTGTATTTTCTGCACTCAACTGGATAAGCTTGTGCCATGAATTTGAGGCACCCAAGGGCTCTGATTACCATGACCTACTAACAGTCATGCAAAGCAAAGAACTTGTACAGCACAACAAATTCCTGTCTTCGTATTTCCCCCCGACAGCAGGGCCAGGGAGTTAGAGCTCTTGTGCTGCTTACAGGGATTTTCATGCAGGACTTATTCTCAAGGGGCTGTTTCCATAAAGTTTAAGATCCTTTTAGATAGAAGAGTGGTTGAAAAAAAAAGCCTTAGCATAATTGAGAATGAGGTTTGTTTTGTACCTAGCAGAATACTAAGACACCAAAGTATTTAAGAATTAAAGGTGGGAACAAATTTGTGTATTAAATTTTGAGCATGGCTATGCTTCAGGAATGAAAAACACGTATTGTCAGAGGGAAAATAAAGTGATGACCAATGAATAAGAAAACATAAGGATGTCTCAGAAATTGTTGGCCAGATGCAATGTAATAAGGATGGCTTCATTATGAAAGATGATATGCAAGAATGTTGAGAAAATCTGCTCGTTAGTCCAAATGGGAAAATCTTTAGTGTTCTATAGTTGATATCAAATGTTACTTAGCATTTGAACCTCTTCACTTGAGTTTCCAACAGGCACCAAGACAGTTTAATCTAACCACATCAGTTGGTTTCAGCTACTGCTTCATAACCAAAAAACAGAACTGGTGCTGATGTTGTAACTGATTTTGCTATTTCTATGGGTATGAAAAAGGATTCTCCTAGGTTTATATGCCAGAAAACCAGGCAAATATCTACTCTATGATGCAAACAGCTTATGGCAAATATCTGACAACAGATAATGTATAGAGGCAAGAGAGAACAAGGAAATCATGCTAAGCAGTGGTCATAGCATATTAATAAGCTAATGACTATCAAGGTAACATTAATGGCAAGAGAGAGCTTAGCTATGGACATGAAGTACAACAGTGGATATTAAATAGACAAGAATTATAGAAGTAGCGTGGCTGGATTTAGGAATGTATTGGCTGCAGTGCTTATGAAATACTAACAAAGTATGTCATGTTGGCATGAAGTGTGATCATATGGAGACAAATCTGGCAGAAGAAACATTAAGTGGTAAATAACTATAGTCATAAAGATACTGAGCAAAGGAGTTGCCAGTTTTGTTCAGCTAGATCAACCTGGCCTGCTGGTAATGAAGAAAAAGTCAGAAGCACAACCCTGTAATTCATGCAAGACCACTCTTGAGGTTAAAGAGTTTGGCTTTCCATCCTGTACACAGACACATCTGAGGGGGTCTGACATCAGCTGGGACTCTGTGAAGCTGCATGCATGAACCCTGTGGTTCACTCTGGCAAGAAAAGGGCACTCGGTCAGCATTGGATTTGAAAAGTCAGAAATGCACATCTATAAAATATCATCAGGAAAACAGATTTTTGTGGTTGGAGATTCTTGGAAAGCAATCTACTGAGAGAGAACTGGAAAGAACAATGTGGGACAAAGATTTTTTCAGTATGTCTTCAATAGGCTTAAAGGTTTAAACAGTTGCTAACTAGAAGCTTATTCAAAATGCTAAATGAGCCCATAGCAAGTTCCAGTTTTAGAGCATCATTTGTACACTACTGACTGACCTATAGGTCCTGGCCTGTTTTTTGCTTCTGGCTGTACTTGGGCCAGCAACCACTCACACACGAGTGGATCTGAGTGCATCTCAGCCACTCTGAACTTCCACTGAGTTTCACTATAGACTCCAGTTAGCAGGCATGGGGCAAAGCAGCTCAGCGGTAGGATCATCCACATGCAGTCTGCGAACCCAGACATATGAGATCCACCCAAGGAAAATGCCATTAATGGTGAATAACCAACTAATTTCTCCCTCAAGTTGGACAAGGCCGGTTATGGAAGGCAAGAAAGAGATAAGGAGAGGCTGTGTAGCTAGGTGTCTGTGTTTTAGTTTCACATGTTGGACTGATGCATTTCAAAGCTGTCTTTGATTTGGGTGAAGTCCAGCCCACTCTTTCTTTGCCTTCTCCAATGTGCAGCTTCTTGGTACGGGCACCCTGCATGAGTAGAGCCTCATGAAGTAGTGCTAAACCTAGGACTTCCCTTTCCCAAATCTCCAGCCGCACGAGCAATCTGAGTTTGCTTTAGCCTCTTTGTGGCTACATAGCACTTAAAGCTCATAACACAAAGGCCTTGCAAAAGGGATTCTAGACTGATTGATCTTTCTTTTAGTACCATGAGAGACAGACAATAAATCTAGGTAAAAGAATGCATGTCGTCTGTGTATCCCCATACCTCCGTTTCCTCATTTTCTGGAGAAATCTTTAGGCTGAGGCCCAAATTTTCCAGGTTCTTTCCTTTCTTCTTTCCCTCTTGCATGTGGCTCTCCTCCAGCCTGTGGAATCTCCTTTCGTTCGGGAAACCAACTTGTTATTATTTCTTCTTCAGCTCTCTAAAATGGCTTCTCTGACTTTCTTTGATGGCTGCCAGCCTCTTTTTCGTATTGGTAGGTTGACTCCTGATGAGTTTTGTCATAGCAACATAGCTCCCTGGAAACTGATCCACAGACTAGTAGCAAGCTCCCCTGAATTATTTTTATGGGCCAACACTTTTTACGGTAGTATTTCATACAAAATGGGCATCTTTGGGGGAGAAAAGATAGAGGAAAGAGATGAAAGAGCATGGGAGTAGAGATGGAGTAGGGAGTACCTGGTGAGAAGTAATGAGAGCAGGAAATAGAGAAAAAACTAGAGAAAATAAATGCTGCTTTCCACTTATTGCATTGCATTTATTTATAGT